TTTTCATCCGACAATACATTGAGACTTCGGATCGAACACACTCGTGCAGGTTGTGAATGAACAGGGATCTGAAGGCAGGGTCTTCCTCGAGCCCAGGGCCATTTCGACCTTGGAAATAAGCACTTTTGAGTCGGCGATAATACTCTCTGGGGGGTTCATTTCTCCCGTGTTTGATGGAGAAGGCCCCCATTGTAGCAGACGCAGAGTCTGCATACGTGGCGTATTCATCTCTCAACGCTCGGCAGAGCGAGGAGTACCGATCACGAATGTCAGGTGGTAGAGTTTCCATGAAACCGTGCACCGTTCTAGATGTAGTTTTCCAAATTAGCTTGAGCTTTTCCCTTGAAGAGGGTGCTGGAAGATCAAGCAGACAACGTTCTATCTCCCTGAGATAATCGTCGACATTGGATTCATTGGTGTTAGGATCAAAGCGTTCTATGTCTTTAGCTAGCGATTCAATTTGACGTACACGGAGCCCTGACTCGCGGTACGGCGCGTCATCCTCTGACTCTGACCCACGGTCTGTCTCAGAGGGTGCTGGATATCGCTGGTGTGCTCTGGGCTCCCAATGTTGACTCCTGGGGCCCAAATCGGGGTCCGGCATGTTGTGGCGGGCTGCTGGCACGTCACGTGGGTGTCTTGGGAGGTCCTCCTCCCGGGGCACGTCTGCGTAGTGCAGCCTGCGTCTTTCAACTGGGGCTTCTGCGTAATACACTTTGTCCGGATACGGACTGGCGTATGATGCTTTGTCCTGCAGCTGGTTACCGGCATGCCGAATACCGGAGTAGCTAGGATGGGTGGATGGTTGAGGTGCAGCTTGGGGTGCATAACCCCAATCGGCACCTTGCACCCTTTGTGGACTGGGGGAGCGGTCTAAATAGAGGTGCCGCTCAGCTGGTCGACTTCTCACTGATTGAGAAGGCCGTGAAGATGAGGGTGGTGGTCCAACCTGGGATTCGAGGGCGAACTGCTCTCGGCCCCTAGGTGGTCCTGAATGCCCTATAGTGTGTGTAGGGAACGGGGCCGAAGGTTGGAACAGATGAGCTTCATCTCTCCCCTGCGGCGTGCGTCCGTCCAGAGAGTCCTGGTGTTTCCCCCCTTCCCACTGTCTGTTGTCATCAGCAGAGGGGGGCGGGGTCTCCTCCCCATCTTCCCCAGAATCGGTGCGGGTGTCGTCTTCCTCGATCAGCCTTCCATTTCGCTGTTTTTCAGCTAGCATACTCTGGAGGTTCATGATCTCTCTATCATGTTGGAGTCCTCTCTGATAGAGGATCAGGGCTAACTTAGCTAAGTGAACCTGGATTGGTTTTGTACCATCCGGGTTTTCTATTTGATCGATTACAGCTTCTAGCTCGACGCTACGCTGTTCTTCAGTGAAATCCCTAGAAGGGTAGTCGGGTTCTCGAGCAACCGCGACCAGTTTGGACAATATTTGTCCAGAAAGTAGGCAAGGTTCATAGTCGTGGGCCGCAGCGCCACCTGGTTGCTGGGAGTTGGTCAGTTCACTACTCTGTCCCTCCATTTTTAACAACCGAACCAAAAATAGCCTAGTAGAGCTTCTGCAGATAGCTCAAACTGCACCTTTTGGCAGCAAACTGCTAGGTTTGTAGCAGAAAAACACTAAATTAACCTTTGTGCGCACAGGTTTTAGCGTTTTAAGATTGCACGGAATGCCGTGACTGACGCTTAAAATACTATTCCTTTCAGTATTTTAGCAAAAGCTGGTGCGTTGCCGTAGCAACGTCTTACAACACTTGCAGTGTTAAATATGCTAGTTATTCCTTCAGAATATTAGCAAACAGGGTGTTATCAGTCTTTGAGTGAAGGTTTCAGTTAGTTATAATAGCCACTGTGAGTTAAAGTCGCTAAATTAGCAGTTAATTTTTTTTTGCCTAAAAGGGTTAGTCAGAATTACTTACACACTGCACCTTTAATGAGCAACTGAATTTTAACCTAAAAGGTTAGCCAGAATTAATTACACGTTGCACCTTTAAGGAAAAACTGAATTTTAACCTAAAAGGTTAGCCAGAATTAATTACACGATGCACCTTTAAGGAAAAACTGAATTTTAACCTAAAAGGTTAGCCAGAATTAATTACACGATGCACCTTTAAGGAAAAACTGAATTTTAACCTAAAAGGTCAACCAGAATTAATTTACACGTTGCACCTTTAAAGAAGCACTGAGTTACTGGTGAGAGGTCGATGCAGCTTCCTGCTCAGCGAAATCAGCACCACTCTGTTGCTGGTTCAAGGCTGAACAACGGATTATTTTTAATTCAAGCTCTTTGGATTTATTTGTTTGTTTGTGCCGGATAGAAATCTCTGTGTATCCAAGCCTCACACGGGGCACCAATTAATGTTGGGGTTATTAGGAGCGAACAATTAGTAAGCTTCAACTTACTTTTGGATTCTTCAATAAATTCTGTAAATATGTAAATATTTACTGATTTATTAATTAATTAAGATATTCTTAGATATACGGGGCACCATTCCCCTTTAACCGGGGAAAAATTGAATCCAAAACTCTTATCAGTCTTTCTTGAAGTTCGTAGAATCCTTGGAGCAGAGACTTCTCTTCGACACAACAAAGCTACTGGAGACGAAAATCTGAATTTTATAACGTTTAATTAACAATTTGTCAAATGAATAGACAGTGGCATAAATGAATAATAACCATGTGATATAATAAAAGGATGTATATTCAAAATAATGTTCAAGGTGTTTTGTGTGTATGTATGTGTGTGTGTGTTTCTAAAATGGAGTCTGTATGCAAGATGGCTGACCCCTTTGTCTGGCTAAAGTGTGAGTGGCAACTTGCACTTTAACTTCCAAGGCACTTAGAATCATCAGTAACTTAACCTTAAATTCACTCAAAACATTTCAAAGGATCATGAAACAACACAAAGGATTAATCACGAATAATATCTTTTAGTTTAACCACGTGGCCAAGCAGAAAACATTTAAAGATACCAAACAATGATCAATAAGCAGTTTATTTATTCAAAATGACCCGAAGGACGAATTGGGAGCGAAAGAGGAAAACACGAAGCTACTTTTTAAGCAATAGCGCGGTTTTATTGCTTATTCTGGACTATAGAGGAAACGGGAGAAGAAAAGGAGAGAGAAAAAAATGAGTTTTCTGATCACCAGAAGAGCAGCAAGGCGTCCCCCGCTGTTATGATTTGACGGTTCTCCGTTTTTCTCCACAGTTTTCAGCGTCATCCGTCGGTTTGATGCTTTCTCCGTTGTTTGGCTCCACGAGTGTTTCTCCACGGGCTGGACACAAAGAGAACGAAGTTTCTTTTGTGCTGAGTTTGACAACTTACAGCGTCTCTGAGAGCTGAATGGAGCTCCGCTCGTTCCCAGTCAGGTCCCGATGATGGTGGAGTGGTTTCCAGCGGTTGCGTGGCTCAACTTGGGCACTTAGAGCTTCCGCGTGCTCAAGTTGTCGGAGCGTTCGACAAGCGTGTCCTTACCGCCAGGTATCCTGGGCAAAAGAACGAGGTTTCTTTGTCTCTGCTGAAGATTTATGGTCTTAGTTCGCGGGAAAAGCTCCACGGCTTCCCGCACATGCGCAGAACGTGTTTCTGGTACTAGGCGGTAACATCACCCAATGCTTCCGTGTGCAAAGCATCATGGGAAATGAAGTTTCTTGGCGCTGATGTGATTATTTGCTTTCCAGAGCAATTTAAGCACAGTCATTTTGGAGAAAATCACTGCATAGTAATTTCCTCATGAGGTCAGACCCTCAACAGTGTCTTTGAACGGCTGCTTGGCATCATGCGGTGTCCTTTTTTTACCTGCCCAATTGAACTTGCAGGCCAGGCTGTTGGTCAAAACTGTCACAAGCATTCTTCGAATCATACAGGTGGAGGTAGTGCCTCCCACTAAGGCCAAGAAAGCAATCTAGTGAAATAAGAAGAAAAATGGATAGAAGTTATTGCCAGTTTGCATGTTGATGTAACCAAATTAAGTTTAATATACAGAACGCCTTTTTATGCTGTTTGTTAAACAAATTACCATCTTTTGACAGTCTGGCTCATTTTTTAGCAATAATTCAGCCTTGTTGAAGTCATCTTCAGAGGTGATTGGCAACTGGATGGGCAACATCTGTTGAACTGTGTCTGGCAGTGGTCCTTCACAACCAGCTGGAGTAATTTTACCATCTGCCAATTCACTCTTGATGAACTGTACATCTCTTGATAGTTCCTTCACAACCACTAGTACTTGGGCAGAGGTGGAAAGTAACGAATTACATTTACTCACGTTACTGTAATTGAGTAGCTTTTTTGTAAAGTTATACTTTTTAAATCGTTTTTAAAATCTGTACTTTTACTTTTACTTGAGTATGTTTTTAAAAAAGAATTGTAATTCGCTACATTTTAAATCATATCCGTTACTGAGTAAAAATAAATTGTTGGCTTAATTAAATAAAAATATTACGTGTAGCAGCGTCGGAACAGAAAGAGACACCTGCATGAGCGCCACGTCTAAACCGGGGGGGTGCTACACGCCTTATGATGAGGACAAACAGCCATTTTTACCGCAGTTTTGCTCAAAAACTTCAGTCCCTGTGTTCAACTCGCTGTTTACCTCCTCTCTCCCTCCTCTCCTGTGGGTTGGAACCCGCACCTTCGCGCACTGGTGTGACATCATCAGAATTCTGCTCGGTTCGGCAACCAGACTCGGTTCCGTGTTTGAAATGTGTTTCCTTACTGCGCACGGAAGCGGCAAAATTACGTTTAGCGCTCCTAAGAAGCGGATTCTCAGCGCTCTGCTCATAAAACAGAAGACCTGCAGGCCTCTGTGAGTTAATCCTGATACTGTTCAGGTGTAAATATTGTGCTCCATCCCTCTGTTTGAACTCAGAAGATGCTTCTTGATGCCACAGATATGTGATGATTTAGCTTGTTTCTTTATTTTACTCCAGAATAAGAGATTAAATTATTACAAAAGCAGTTCAGTGTAGTTAAATTAGTCATTCAAATGATTCTAACATGCTGCAGTGTGTGTGTGTGTGTGTGTGTGTGTGTGTGTGTGTGTGTGTGTGTGTGTGTGTGTGTGTGTGTGTGTGTGTGTGTGTGTGTGTGTGTGTGTGTGACTGCATAAGACAGCATGGCTTCATCAAATCCATGCATCCTAGCTTGGCTGAAGTAATGGCTCAGGAAAATAACTTGTATTTAATAAACAATGATGTCTCTACAGTGTTTATGATAAGATTTTTATATTATATTGGACCTATCTTTGGTCTGGGAGGTGTAACATATCATGATACAAGCCTTTTAAAACATATTAAAGTGTTACAAGAGGAGATAAATGCATGAATTTGAAGTTCATGTTTGGAGACCAACCTTCACAGTTTGGAGGCTCACGCTGGTGAGGAGACACCATTAGTTCTAGTAACACCTGGGCTCCAAGGCCTGTTCTGACAGGATGGACGTTACGAGACTCCAGTTGGATGATTGGAGGATTATTTAGGAGGATTGGAATGAACAAACTGATTTCAGTGGTGAAGGGTTAAAGGAATTGGCTCGGCATTAAAATTGTAGAAATGCAAAATAACTACACTTTATTATCTATATAAACATGTACTGGGTCCAGTTTTTTATTTTATTAAGGACTTTTGTCATAAATCATTACAGAAAATCCAAATCATCTCCTCCAGACAGTGAAGAACTGTGTTTCGCATACATCACTCCAGCACGTAAAACAAGAAAGCTGCTGATGCTAATATTGTGAATAACTGTTATTTGTTTACTTTCATGCTCCTAATTATTATGTAAAATTGCGTTTACAGCTGCAGCAAAAGGTCTGAGCCATGTGTCTGTGTCCTATACGCATTTTTAAATAACAGGTCTGATCTAAAATAATAACCTACATCTATAAATCCATCTAGAACCGCACCGCTACTTCTGGACTCTAGACGAGTCTCGTTAGCATGACTGCAGCAAAACTAACCGTGTTCGCTCCGGTAAGGAAAGAACAAGTCCTTTGGGAAAGCTACGACACACACACACACGCACGCGCGCGCACACACACACACACACACACACACACACACACACACACACACACACACACACAGATATAATCTAAAAGATGATCTCTATATTTAACATTAAAACCTGCATGACATCCTGGATTAGTGCAAACAACGAGTTGAGCTAAGGAGTTACGCCTGGTTTATGCTTCTCCGTCTGCGTCAGTGCGGAGACACGCAACGCCATTATCCGTCCTTGCGTAGGGCGCCGGCAGCACGCAAGTACGTACGGAGTCAAGCCCACTTTTTTAAACATCCGTCGAACGAGACGGATTACGCAAGCTTGTGATTGGTCAGGACGCCGCTGTTGTTTACAGCGCCGCCATTGCAAAGAGAGCCGGGGATAACTAGCAGCAGACACGGAGAAGCTTGAAGAATATCTCGCGAAAAAACTCTAAAAATATGAACGTTTAGTTCTCCCGTGACTGGAGGAGTGAAAAGATGCACAGCAAGCGTTTTAATATGTGGACGGAAATGACAGGAAACGTGGGTTTAGAGGTGGGGAGTGTCATGGTCTGAGGTATTTCCCTGCTGTCACTCCCTGTCTTTTGAGTTTTCCCTCTGCAGGTGGGCGTGTCTGGAGGTGACCAAGCTGCAGCAGATCTGCTCATCAGCTGGCCAGGGGTATTTAAGCAGCTGGGAGACTCCTACACTTCGCTGGATGATTACTCTACCTGGGTACCTTCTAAGCCACCTCATCTCAGTATTTTCAAGCTCTTATGACCTTTTGAGATTTTAGATGTGTTTTGGATTTTTGGATTTTGCATTTTACTCTTCCTGCTCTTGTTCACCAGATCAAACCTCCACTTTCATCCCCGACTGGCTATTTCTCTGGAACTCCAACCTGCTTGTCTCTCAGCTGCTCCCTGGCCAGAACCACCTCCAGCTGCCCACCTAAGCTCCCTGGATCTCCACCAACTCAGCTCCCTCCACGTCTCCCCTTCTGGATCTCAGTTTCAAAAATCCCCTCTCAGCCCAGACCGGACCACTCCTCCCTCGAGCTACTTTTCCCCCTCTCCAGACTGTAAGTTCCCCACACAATTCTGATTCCTTGTTTTCCCCTTTGAGTTGGATCTGACTCCCATCTGTCCACAGATTTCCCGCACCGGCTCCCTTTATGAAAGAACTCAGCTACGTTCAAGCTGCTCCCTTGGTTTCCTTTAATAAATTCTTATTTAAAAAAACACTTTCCCCATCTCAAGCTGATTCTGTATGTCGTGGGTTAGACATCTACACCACAACATGACAGGGAGCCCATGAAGCGGTGGAGGAGAAATATGTCCGTGTTAAAAGTCTCTTATGTACACAAAAAACACAATATAAACACACTATCTTGGGCCGATACATGACAGGATACCACAGAACAGCGCTACGCCCTCTGCTGTCCTGCCGAGCAATTGCTTTGCAACACTCTCCAGGAGACGGAGAAGTAAGAGAGCAAAACGCTTCCGTCAATCCGTGCGTGTCTGTCCCTTGCGGAGCCGACGGAGAAGCATAAACCAGGCTTTACTCCAGCATCAAGAAGATTTATTCTGGTAAATTGTAGGTTCATTATTTTCCAGAGTTATGTCAATAAATATACACAGCAGTAAAACTGTAGATTACTGAACTATATTGGGACACATGATGGAGCTAAAACCAGCTGAAAACTTGTCAGCTTAGAGCTCCCAGTGGAGCACAGAAATGAAATATTTAAGAAAAGTAAACAAACTGTACCAATTTTGGTTCTGAAGATGAACAGAATCCTCCTCTATGTCCAAATCAGCTCGCAGGTCTTCTGAGTCAAACGGTCTAAAACATGTCTGCACCTCTGGTAGTGATATCCAGCTGGCGGGGTCGGAGTTCGGTTGAACTTCTCCAGTAATCTAACATCCATTCTCGTCGCCGTTTCCCAGAGAAAAAGCAAATCTGATGGACTAGTAGAGGCTTCAGAAGCTACATCTGATTGATGACACATTGTTCTCTGCTATAACGCTAACGCAGAAACAGCGGAGCCAGGCGTTGTTTACTACAGCTGTTTCAGCAGAGCTCCATGTGAAACGTCAACTGCTGCCCAGGGCTTAGACCGGAAGTTAGTTTCTGTTTTTCCTGCGCTGGTCACAAACATCAGATTTTCTTACAATTCCAGCCGTCAAAATCCAAAAACCTTTTTCATCTGAGATTTTAATACACATTTACACATGCTGTTCAAACAAATTTTGCCTCTGGCCGATATCTTTAAATGAGTGAGTGAACCCACTACCAAAGATGAACTCTGCTAACTTTAAAAATCAGCTGCTCTAAATAAGCATTCAGGGAAAAGTCATGGGCTTGTGACTATAACCTAATTTATGTTACTAGTTTGCAGTGTAACTGCCTTTGTACTTCAATATGCATATTTGTTCATTTAATTAAAAAAATGGCCACTTTGACATTTATACCCCATTGTCTTTTTTTAACTATTCAGAAGAGCCCATCCTTGCACAGTCAAAAAAGTAACTAAGTAACTTTTACTCTGACTACATTTGAAATAAGCTACTTTTTACTTTTACTTGAGTACAGGTAATTTTACTTGTAATTGAGTAAAATTTCATGAAAGTAATTATACTTGTACTTAAGTACAACATTTTAGTACTCTTTCCACCTCTGTACTTGGGAAAGCATTTCAGTCATCTTTCGGATGGCAATGTCTTAAAAAAGTAAACAAATTTTCATGAGACAAAAATGTGCTGAATACTTTTGTGGTGAAGTATTTAATAGTTAGTAGGGCTGCCATGACTAGTCGATTAGTCACGATTATGTCAACTAGTACAATTGTTGGCGACAAATTTAGTTATCAACGTTTTGCTATTTTTTAAGCAATTTTTTCCCTCAAACTGCCACCAGGGTTTCCCCCAGCACTTTATAAGCCTTTGCTTGTCTCAACTGATACTGCAGGGAAACAGCAGCGGAACTTAACAATCTGTCCAACAGAATGATCTGTCAAACACATTTTTCACCCCAGACGGTCCAGTCTGCGAGGCTTATCACATTTTCTGGGGGAAACCCTGTGCCACTGTACCTTCCATTGCCTTGTCTGCCTTCCTGTCCTTGAAGAACATGTGTGCTGTGCTGCAGCCAATAAGCAAACAGCAGTTTTGAACACTTACAGGAATGGTGCACTTTTTGCTACAGTTAATTTGTTTGTTGCTACAAGGTCCAAAGTTCATTAAAAGTTTATCAAACTATCATCCCGTCCAGCTGAATGGTGGTGCAATAAGCTGTATGTTTTGCATTGTGTATGCATGACCTGATCAGTGTCAAAAATAATCTGTGACTAGTCGACAATCAAAAAAATGAGTTTGCTGCAGCTCTAGTAATAAAAGATCTGACCATGCATTGGGATGTGGCAGAGCATAACAGTTTCTAGTACTTACCTTTCAAAATATGTCCATTGTCACCCTGCATGGTCACATCTATAAAGACAATGTATGTTAATTATATGCATTTCTTTACCATCAACACAAACAAAGAAATTCATCAGTCTACCCAGGCCGCCTTCCCAGTGGTATTACAAGACCATTACAATTATTTTCTTCTCTCTCAAACTGCCAACCCACTTGAAAATGTATCTACTACTGATCACTCTTGAGCAATGCCTTCTATGAGAAAATAAAGCTGTTCCCTTTCACACTTCACACACAAAAAAAACTGTCTACTTATCCGACATTAGAGGGCATAAAAAATGACAAGATATTTGATATTTCATTAGTAAGTTGTGGTTATTGACCTAGAAGACAGTACTGCATACCGTTTTGAGCATGTTGATGAGCACGCAAGGGGGTGTATCGCCCGGAAATGTGGGGTGGGAATAAATCTGCACAAACATAGATATTAATTTATATATTTGGAAGCACTACCAAAATGTTTCAATTGGCAGATTTTATTTTCAGCTACTACAGGTCCGCTAATTAGTTAAATTATTAAAATGTGTTAATTAGTCATTATGTGTCATCAATATATCAGTTTCACTGCAGAGTTCTGTGCCCATGATTGTAAAAAAGTGTAGTATGGAATCTTACTTTCTCCCTGTGGGACCTGCAACTGATAGTATTGCACAGCACCGGATGCTGACATCATTTCTGAAACACATAAGAAAAGTAAAAGTCAGTGAAATTATTAGCATTTATTATTGTAACCTTCTAAATGAGTATGTTTGATCTAATGCATCACAGAGTTAGGAACACAAAAGATGGAATACACACTTTCCCATTTTAATATTTCAATAAAATTATTTTAAAGACACCAAATACAGAGGATTATATAAATGCTAACAATCATTTGGCAGCTTACCATTGTGAACTTGCTCATGTGTTGATCGTTGGTCACAGGCACCTGTAAACACAACAACAAAAGAGGTAAAATAAGATTAATGAAGCATGAAATGGTTTCAATACTTCTCCCTTTTATACTTGCATGATCTAAAACTACTATTCAAAGTAGAACGTATGTGAACCCCATAGAATGTTTTTCTTTTCTGCATTATTTAATTGTTATTGTAGACAACCTGCTGTTTAGTATTTTGTTCTAATCTGCTTGCCGTACCTCTGGGTAGGTCTGTGTATGTGTTGACTGGTACAGTGGGCATTCGGTTAGTGAGTCCATGCATGTAAGTTGTCTGCTGTTCTGCTGGTTAATAAAACCACGTTAACTGAATATACCGCTTCATCATTATCATACTGGTGAACAAACAACATGGTGTCAGAAGGGATAGAACACGTGCTTCCTATTTGACGGTATTTACTTTTTCGTCTCAAGTTTTTTTTTTTTTTTTTTTTTCTCTGTGGGTGCATTTTTTGTGTCTGGACTGTTGCCGACATGGCGGAAGGACTCAGGAGGCCTGACCCGCTTGTTTTCGATGGTAATGTTGCTGAAAACTGGCGCATTTTTGAGCAGGAGTATGACATTTTTATAGCGGTGGCACATTCGGACAAGCCAGCGCGCACGCAAGCCTACATATTGCTCAACTTAGCCGGTCCCGAAGCTATAGAACGGGAGCGGTCTTTTGTTTACGCGCCAGAAGTGAGAGAGCCCGGCGATGGAGGACGAGTTCTCATTCCTGCATGGTTGGCCACTACGACTCCACAACCTTCCCACGGCGGTTCATCCATATTTTCCTTTCAGGGATGAGCTGACTGTGGATGATGGCATCATTCTTAAAGGTTCCAAAGCCGTGATCCCAAAATCGCTGCAAGGAGACTACATCACCATTATGCACAGAGGACATCCTGGCGTGGAAGCTACCAAGCGGAGAGCGCGGGGGATCGTTTTCTGGCCGTTCATGTCAAGAGACATTGAACAAGCAGTTACTTCTTGCTCGATGTGCAACAGCACTAAACCTTATCAACAAAAAGAGCCCCTTCATCTGCATGAAGTTCCAGATCTCCCTTGGTCAACTGTAGCTACAGATATCTTTGAGTGGCACTGTCAGCACTATTTAGTAGTAGTCGACTCATACTCAGGCTGGTTTGAGATTGACCTGCTAAAGGATTTGACATCAGCGACAGTCATTAAAAAGCTGAAAAGACACTTCTCAGTTCATGGTGCTCCACACACTCTGATCTCAGACAATGGAAGTCAGTTTACAAGCCAGCGTTTCAAAGACTTCGCTTCACAGTGGGACTTTCGACATGTCACCAGCAGTCCAGAGTATCCTCAATCTAATGGGCTTGCTGAGAGAGCAGTGCGCAGTGCTAAACAGCTGATGGAGAAATCTCACAGAGATGGCACCAATGTATTTCTCAACCTGCTGAATCTCAGGAATGTTCCACGTGATGTGAACCTGGGTTCACCTGCAGAACGACTTCTATCCAGACAGACTCGAACTACACTCCCAATCATGACCAAACTGCTCAAACCACAACACCGTGGATCTGAGAAAGTGAAAGCCCAGCTACTCAACAAGAGACTGACTCAGAAGGTCTGTTACGACAGATCCAGCCGACAACTTCCACCTCTTGAAGAAGGACAAATAGTGAGGTTACAGACCCCACATGGTTATGACCGCACAGGTGTGGTGAAGGAACTTTGTAAGGAACCTAGATCCTACCTGGTACAGTCAGATGGGAACATTTACAGGAGAAATCGCAGACACATATTGCCTGTGTCTGAGCCTGTTACTGCTCAGAAAGGCACTGATCATCATCATGATGATGGACTGCAGGGTGGGGGTGAAAACAATGATGTAGAACCATTTAAAGACAGCACTCATGTTGAGAGCTCTTCTGATGTTGTGCATTCTCCAGGACCTTCCAGGAGTGATGGTGTTTATAGGACACGCTTTGGTCGTGTATGCAAACCAAATCCAAGATATAGGGATTAATTAAGTACACAGAACTTGTTCAGGTTTGATGTTCAATTCTACAGTAACTGATGTCCACGTTTCAAGTTAAAATTCTGGTTGAGGTAATTTTCAGTTGTAATCATTTTTAACTTTATGCAGCAAAATGATATTTTGTCATGTTTATTTCTTCCATCTGGTTACAAATTTAAATGTTTCCAAGGATCAGTGGATGTCACCTTTTAATGCTGTGATTATTGTTGTTTAGCATGCATTAAACTTTATATCCAGTTAGGGATGTACTAAAGAAGGGGGATGTAGACAACCTGCTGTTTAGTATTTTGTTCTAATCTGCTTGCCGTACCTCCGGGTAGGTCTGTGTATGTGTTGACTGGTACAGTGGGCATTCGGTTAGTGAGTCCATGCATGTAAGTTGTCTGCTGTTCTGCTGGTTAATAAAACCACGTTAACTGAATATACCGCTTCATCATTATCATACTGGTGAACAAACAACAGTTATTTATTTATTTTAATTGTTACCATCTCTTGCCAGTTGTGAGGGCCTAAGAAGTCCATAATGTTTTGATCTTGGTGTTGTATCTAAAATGTACATACATTTTAAAGTTAAGTCTTCACTTGTGTACATGATGCCAGTTATTTCCTCATGAGAACATCAATGACACAGATCATGGATTCACTTACTGTTACTTGGATCAGGCATCAAGTTTTCAGAATGGCTGTAAACGTCACCAACTGCACCCAAAAATGAAAACCACCAAAGGTATGAATACGGGGTTCTTGTAGGTTTTAGTGACTTTAAGAAATTTTAAGATCATTATGATTGAAATTCAAGACCTATACAACATTGCCAAAATATTCAATTCAATGCATGCTTTCGTTCTTTTTTAAACACAGAAACAGTTTTGTTTACCTGTTTGTAGCTACAGTTTCGCCGACGGCTGCCGGCTTCTTCAGGCTGACGCTGATGGTGGCGCGTCACTTCCTTCTCCGTTTATCTGCGGGCAGCAGCCTGAAGAAGCCGGCAGCCGTCGGCGAAACTGTAGCTACAAACAGGTAAACAAAACTGTTCCTGTGTTTAAAAAAGAACGAAAGCATGGATTTAGAAAGACACAGCAAGAACACACCTAAGATGTTCAAAGAGAAATACGGACAACAAGGAACGAAGGACTTCCGCCGTTTGGAGCGATTACACCAGAAACGCGCACGTCTAAGAAACCACCTTCGCTTCTGTTTAAGATGCCGGGACGAAAACATCACACCCACAAGCCTACAGCTGAAAACATTGATCTGGACCAAGACAGCACAAAATATAATAGAAAGAGCACAGAGAGCACTGCTCAAGGAGAGGATAAGGAACGTCATAACCAAACAGAGGCGTGTGGAGGACACCTGGACTTGAAAAGGAATTACAAACTTGATAAACAAATGGAGGAACTAATTAAAGGATACATGATGGAAAAACAGGAAAAAGAGTTCATAAAAGTAAAAGAAAGACACATAAAGAAGTTAAACAGACTCATAAACAAGAAAAAGAGGGGAGAAATACAAGGCAACTCCACACCAAACTCATGGGTATGTAACATTTCACAATACAAACTAACAGAAGCAGAAGAGAGCATATTAAAGAAAGGTTTAAACTTTGCAGTCACACCAAAAGAAATACCATATGATGAATTTATTGTAGCAACAGAACTAGCATGTCAACAGATCACAGATGAGGGAAAGAAAGCAGAACTCAGAAATAACATAGTTGGGATATTAAAAAACAGCCAAATTCAACACAGCAATATTACAAAAGAAGAACAATCAGCCATGACAGCCTTATCCAAAAATGAACAGATAATTATTCTACCGGCAGATAAAGGAAGAACCACAGTAGTTATGGACAGAGAAAAATATAAACAACAGATGAAACAGATGCTAGAGGACAAAAATACATATGAAATACTTAAAAAAGATCCAACAGAAAACATTAAGAAAAACATGAAAAAATTACTGAAGCCACTGCACGAAAAAGGCAAAATAACAGAAAAAATGTACAAACACTGGATTCCCACGGCGAATATAACACCAAGAATATATGGAACGCCAAAAATACATAAACAAAACACCCCACTTAGACCAATAGTTGACAGCATAGGTACACCAACATACAACATGGCAAAAGATATCAGCAGAATCATCAGCCCGTTATTAGGAAACACAGACCAACACTGCAAAAATAGTATAGAATTGGCAAAAGAACTAAAGGAAATTACAATAGAAGACAACGACATACTCATCTCACATGACGTCACATCTCTGTTCACAAAAACACCAACCCAAAAAACCATAGACATAGTAGTTAACAGAATCAGACAAGACAAAACTTTACACAAAAGGACAAACCTCACAGCAGATGACATAGCACAACTGATAGGACTGGTAGCTAACTCCACTTACTTCACATACGATAACACAATATACAAACAACTGGAAGGCTTCGCCATGGGTAACCCGTTATCAGCCACCCTGTGCGAGTTTTTCATGGAAGACCTGGAACAAAAAGCCATAGCCACTGCCCCCCCAAACTGCAAAATAAAACTATGGAAACGCTACGTGGATGACATACTGGAAATCATACCAAAAGGTCAAACAGAAACACTAACACAACACTTAAACAATATTGACAACACGGGCAACATAAAATTCACTTATGAGTTAGAGACAGACGGCAGTATAGCATTTATGGATATGAAAATCACCAGGCAGACCGACGGGACCCTAAACATAAACACATACAGGAAACCAACACACACAGACCAATATTTATTATGGACATCAGAACACCCCACCATACACAAAATGTCAGTAATCAGAACATTATATCACCGAGCAAACATAATAACAGAAGAGAGAGACCGTAAACAAGAGGACAAACACATACAACACGCTTTAAAGACCTGCGCATACCCGACATGGGCAATAAACAAAGGAAAACAACAAACAAAAACAGAAAGCAAAGAACAACCCAAAAAAAGAACCAGAAACCCAGAAAGACAAGAACCAAAACCAGTGATAACCCTACCATACATCAGAGGCATAACGGAAAAAATAAGAGCAACAATGAAAAAACACAACATAAACACACCAACAAAGCCATACACAACAGTTAGAAAAAGACTAGTACACCCAAAAG